ATTAAAGATTATTGATCACATATAGAACCAATATAGAGAGATTTGGTTAAATGTCTAAAGAGAATGTGGGTGTCATTTCTAAGATGCTAAGATAGTCATTAGGAAAGTCCTAAGGCTAGATTCTAGTCACTAAAGGAAAGACCAATAACCCTCACCTCAAAAGTGAGGTCAACATGCATCAATGATATTTTTAATTGGATCACAACCAAGTCCGGTAAAACCTCTTTTGGGTTTTTTCACAAAATTTCCAATCTTTTTTTAACTAATATTATTTGCTCGTTAGTTGAGTTTTGTCATACAATCTTTCAAATTTTTTTTTGAAAAGTTTCTTGTATATATACTAAAATAAGTTGTAGGTCTATTTCTTAATTCAATCTCTTTAAAGCATATGTAACAAAAAACCCTTTTTATTTCTTTCTCCCACACAGCAGAAGATGTGCCGTTTCTTGTGCTGCCCATATGATAATGTATCTAGCAGATTGATATACTTTGTTAAACGTTATATGACAAACAAAGGAGCATCCAAGCACGGTGTAACCATTCGATCCAAACAAAAGAAAAGGTAGACATACAAACCAATCACCTCTATTCCTTTATAGTAACATAAACTATGTGCCATTTAATTGTGCAAAGTCTACTATATAATTGGGAATCAATCAACCATGCAAATACAACATCTCCCAAGAAAACTTCAAAGCAATCAATGTCTATAAACTTAGTGAATTTCCAAAAGTAATTAACAATCCTTTAACCTCATGCTACGGTGTTGTCAAAAATTGCAATTAATTTTGTAAATATTATAAAGTAGGCTTCTTTCATCAACAAAATAATTTAATAATCTCCTGCCATGAGCCAACTTGATCCAATGCAAAAAAGAAGGTGCACTATGGACTCGACAATGCTTGAGATCGACCCAAATGCTCCGAGTGTACTAAAAATCACATAAGAAAGTCTGATTTTGCAAAATTGATCATGTTAATGCATATAGAATATCGAAGTTTTTGAAAAAGTAGGGGCGTTAAAAATTGACCCCACACGCAAATACGAATCGAACTCGACTCAAAAAATTTGAGTTAGGTTTGACCTGAATATTTTTTGAATCGGGTTCGGGTCAAAGAATTCCACCCATTTATTATTCAGGTTTGGTTTGGGTTGAACTCGAAAACCTAAACATGGCCCAATAAGCGTAGACTTTTGAGTCAGGTTCAGTTTAGCGGGTCAACTCTAGTTCGGATCTTAATTTTTCAACCCGTTTATTATTCGAGTCGGGTTCGGGTTGACCTTATCCGGGTTGGGATATTTTCGAATCGGACCCGAACCAGACTCGAATTGACACCCCTATGTAAAAAAAACCTTCCACGACCAATTTAATCAAACAAAACCAAAGATGAGCTCGACAAATGGGGGATAAAAAGAATGGTAGAGAGTTACCAAACGAGCTCGAGAGCGCTAGGGCATGATTTGACTTTGCATTCGCTAGTACACAGTAATCCCAAACCGTATTCAGAATCGATCAACCCAAATGTAGGAATCAAACACCCTTAAACCAAGCTTGTGTTGAAAACACGGTTTTAAAAGCTCAAACCAAAGCACCCTTAATGACAGTAAGCAAGATTTATAGGTGGAGATTATATCCTCAATCACTATGCTACGAATAAATGCACTAATAAATTTAAATATATAACACAATTCTTATGTATTTATAAATCTAACACCCAAAATTTAATTTTTATTCAATTTTGGGGCATATGAATCTTAGTTGACACAAGAATATAATCATCTTAGGCCGGCTAAAATCTTATTACTGAGTTGCCCAATTTAACTAAAGATATGTTATCAAGAAATTTTTATTATCAAGCATGAATCTCGATGCATTTCGAGCAAAAAATACTTCAATTTTGAAACAGAGAACATCTGGGTCCAATCTAACGAGTTTGTATTCATATCGAGTTTCAAGACAAGCAAATCCAATAATGCTAAACGCGATCCAATTTGAATCTAAATAAGATTAAATCAAATATTTGAAATACAATCAAAGACTTTAGTATACCAAATTGATTGTCGGATGATCTTATAGTTTGACATGCTTATAGTCAAATTGAGTGTCTCGATCAAAGCAATTCAAGGAGCCTAATTTATCTAGTTTTGAGATTGAATCGCATGAGTTCTACATTCAATTTAACAAAAAATTTGTTAAGTAAAATTGACATACTAAGTTGTACATATATTACTATAAATATAATCTTTCTTCAAAATTGGACTATAGCGGGGATGTAGCTCAGATGGTAGAGCGCTCGCTTAGCATGCGAGAGGTACGGGGATCGATACCCCGCATCTCCATTTAAATTAAATTTTTTTAATTTTCACTTCAAAATTTAATTAATTTTTAAATATCATATACATTTTCAAATGAAGGGTCCTTTAATTCAATTTAAAAAATATTAATATAAATTTAAATTCAAATATATTAAATTTAAAAAAAATTATTTAATATAATAATATAATATATATATATATATATATAAAGTCATTTATTATTATTTTTTTAAATGCTCATTCTTTTTTTAATTATTATGATACTACTTCAGATTTATATTATTTTATTTTTATTAGAATGAAGCTCGTCAGCCGGCTCAAACTCGTAAACTTAAGGTCGTGCTCGAACTTGCTAAAATTAATCAAGCTCAAGCCGAATGTGATACGAGTTCGACTTACTCATTTACAACCCCAACATCCTATGTATTTATCTATTTACTAATATCAAATTATATATATATATATATATATATATATTTTGTATTTACATCACCCAAAGTTTTTATCTCATAAAACAAATAGAATTGGCATATACATTTAAGAAATTAAAGTTTAGGTGTTACATATTTAAATATAAAAGAGTTGTGGTACTTATATGTAAAAATTGAAGGTGTAGGTGTTAGATGGGTAAATGAGTAAGAATTGAGTGGTATGTATGTAAATTTTACTATTTTTAACGAAAATAATTATTTAATTTATTTTCATAAATGAAAATGCATGGCTGCCAATTATTTAGGGATTATACCCACTAACAGTCCCCTCACATGGGCCATGTGAAATGAATCACTCAAAAGTTACATTGTGGTCCCAAACTCCATTCATTTCTTCTTCATTATTTAGGGTTTCTACATATATATATATGCACCTCGGGGGTAAGTTGATAGGCAGTTGTGTTGTCGGTCGTAAGACCCCTCTGACCCAGATTCGATCCCTGCGGGGACGAATAACACATATGAAGAGCAGTATTCTCAAATATCTCTCTTTTGATATATATGTATATGTATCAAAACAACATATGCCTAGAGGTGGAATTGATGGGTTCGACCGTGAGGCTTCCTCTCAGAAAATGGAGGGTTACAAAATGTATTTTATACGCAAATGTCAATTTTTAGGTGTGATATATGTAAATTTCGATGTTTTGAGTGTTTTTTATGTAAACATCCTTATATTTTATGTTTAACAAAAAAAAAGGGGGGAAATTTACATGCAATAGACACAAAAGTTAGGCATTTACATATGTAATATAGTTACTTTAATACTTACATTTATAATAATGATGTTTATAAGAGGTATGAATGTAAATATACATGTTCACTTGTTAGATATGTAAATACATAAGATTTGTGTGATATGTACATAAACCAAATAAAAAATAAATAAAAATGTGACACATTTGAATAAGATTATATTTTAATCAAATATTAGAAATAAAAAAAAAATTGATATATTATACTTTAAAATTTTGGCTTAGAACCATATTCAAATTATTCCATTGTGAATGTCATGGACTATAATCTTATATATTGAATTTATAAAAAAAAATATTATTTATGTATTATTATTATTATATTATTTATATCATGGTAATGATATTTATTATTTTATTTGATTCAAACTCTCCTAGATCTTTAATTTAATTTAATTATTATTTTTTTATTTGGAAGCATGTGAATTTTATAGAATTTGGCTAAATTTTGAGGCAAGTTGCTCTTACCAAAGCACTTGGTCAAATTGAGTGTGATATAAGCAATGTTAAGGCATTTATTATAAGATTAAGAAAAACTATGTGGGAGAGCATATAACTTAAAATAACAATAAATAAAAAGATTTATGTGGGACAAGGGATTATGTTATGGAGAGAGGAAATTTAGGCCACATTCAATCACACATATTTAAAAGTACTATCTAAGGTTTTATTATTAAATTATTGTCTCTTAATCGCTATCATCACTTTGCTATTTCTCTGAAAAATTATCTTATAATTATTAATGTTTATGTCATTGTCGGGTCCTATGCCTCAGATGTAAAAAGTAAGGGGTTGTGTTAGGTAGCTGACAGACAGCGTAAAATTTGTCGAAATATCATGACATGAAACATTTTGATCTATGACACTAAATAGGACGCAATGGAAAAAAAAGGATTCATGCAGTCAACCCCACTTAATGGGTTCTAATGTTGTTTTAATTGAGCAGGTTGAAAGTGCTGTAAGGGGTTGTGTTCTAATGTTGTTTTAATTGAGCAGGTTGAAAGTGCTGCATGCAGAAAAATTCACAGGGGCAAATTGATATTTTAATGTTTTAGCATTGCACGAAAATCCATCACATACAAATAAATGAACAGTAGTAGAAGGAGACACCATAATTTTTATATTGAAAAACTCTGAAAAGGGAGAGAACTACAGAGTCTTGCCCAGTCAAAATAATCCACTATATAATTATAAATACATTACTCTACTCTTCCCCTTAACTAGAGAAGATGAAATCACAAAACTGTTAATCATAGATGCACAACAATTTCTTAGCTACAATGACCATTATTGGATTGTAACCAATGTGATTAGTTAGCCACAAAAATTATAGTTTGTTAAATTTAATATATATATATAT